AGAGCGAAATTATACGAATGCAACCCTTACCGACTGTTTCGTTCCAAGTACAAATGTCCAATGTTCTTCAAAAACAACAACATGGCGGATCGCAAATCAGAGACAACCCACATGCTTCATAACACGTGAAGCAAACACGTTACGTCATACACAGGTCCGCACAACGTGCGCAATCGTAGCTACAAGATTACGCAAGTCACGTGGACTCAGGTTAAATGAGGAAATTCGTGATTCAGAGCCCATTCCTAGACTCAGTTCCTTACGACTCGAGTAATCAGATTGTTTTGCAGACTGACTAGAGGCACCTTTAAAGTGCCACAAGCAACAAAATTTCTTGTAGCTTATGAATAATTAACGAGGATAGATGCCTTTTCCAATCGTTTTGTCGTGACAAGGGATGAAATTTTACGAAAATTTCACTCTGTACCACTGGCTTTTTAACAGAAGTCCTTGTTAAAAAGGACTGAGGTTATAATCGGGTTATTTTGCTATATTGGTCAGTTGCAAGGGATTATTTTGTAAGTATCAATCTGTGAAACAACGGTTGTCTTCGCCTTGAAATTACTACAAGCTGTGTATTTCGGGTGGTAACTCGTCGTGAAACTATACGATCATCTTAAGAGAAAAGTTGCTCAAGTATAGTATTTAACGAAATTGGAAAAAAATCGGTTAAAAATGGGTGTTATTTAAAGTGTTTTACGAATTTACAGACTTTATAGACATGTTTTCATGCATGATAAAAAAAAAATAACACACAAACTGCGGTGACAAACATGATAATAAAACGCGTTTTGGAAAACAAAATTCATAAACTTGACGTTTCGTATGTTTCTTCACAAGTAACTAATTAACAATAACAATGACAGAAACTGAGAGAAATTTGCATATTGAAAGATGCAAACTAATATGTAAAGGTTGCGATCGACTTTTTATTCATTCGTCTTTTCAGAGATTAATATTTTTTAAGAGCAGTTTGCTGTAAGGATCAACTAAGGTCATGCAAGATAGAAAAAAACGGATTTTCCCAAACTTGGCCAGAATAAAGGCCTAGGTCAACTAGGTCTAAAAATATAAGTTTAAGGACGTTTAGAGTTTTACTTATTTTTTGCAATTTTTTTTGTATTTTGCGTTCGCAGCGGCCTAAATTGACGCCGAAATTAGGCATTTTTCGGAAGCTCTCGTTTAAAAAGTGAAAGCATTCTAGAAAAGATTAACCCAGGAAATCAAAAGACCTTATTTCTTCTGCTCATTCGCGGTGTAAAATCTAACTGAAAGTTGAACGTGAATTTTTGGCGAATTTTTTAAATTTGTGCTTTTCGACAGTGTTTTAGACGAAATACAAGCGTCAAAAAAGCACTCTGGTACATAGCTTTACCCAACGAGACTATTCTCTGGGGAAGAACAATCGTATCAACTACACGTCGGGCGAAAAAAAAAAAATTGGGGTAAATTAATCGGCGAATTCTGCGATTACTGAAAAGCCCCTTGGGGACGTGGAATAAAAGTATGTATGTATGCATTTTCAAAACAGGTCATTTGAGCAATACGAGCGGCCCTTTGACCTTTCTATGGTTGGCCATTCGTTTCAAAATTACGACAGGGTATACAAGGATTTTTCTGCCGCGTATACTTGTTTACATACGTTACGTATGGGCTTTAAGCTCATATATACGACCATTTAGATCGCGTATATACGCATTTTTAAAGGGCCACACATTTGCGTAAATTCAAGCGCGGGGATTTGCGAAATAAATGCCCAAATATACGCGTCCTACAAGGACCCATATATACGCGTGCTAAAATGCGCGTATATGCGGGTCTCAAAAAATTACGTTGTATATGCCAGCACGAAATGTGCCTTTTAAGAGAATGGCTTTTCGTGTATGATAGCAATGAAAATTACTTTAACTAAAAATCGTCAATATGGCGGCAGTGGTGAAATGGCTTGTCTTGGTCTATCTGCTATTTAATGTTT